TGATTGGCCAGCTATCCAGTGGGTTGTGATTGGCCGAATTCCTCAAGCATTTGACGGAAATGTTACGCCCCTCACATACTGTTGATGCCGTGTCCCGGTCGGAGCTACGAGACATAAACATTAAAACCCATTACAAACGAGTCATTTGTTGCATCCAGTGGGGACATAATTACTGATTATAATGACTTATACTGTCTTTTTACGCGTTGCGTTGCATTGCATCGCGCCGCGTAAACATAAAATTCTGTCTGCATTTGTGATCAGAGAAATGACAAACAACAAGTGTTACTCTACTGCCCAAAACTCGCGTTTGAATCATCAGTGGCAAATCCTTTAAATGAAAACGTACTTACGTGAGTCAGAACTGCCGGCATTTTAGTCTAACGTTACTCTCCCAGGATCAGTAAACAGTCCTCCATAAAATGTGCTGGCGATCCACAGCACTAAGTTGATGTATTTCCTCAGCGACCAGCACAGATCAGCTCTAGGCATGACGAAGCGGATATCGTCCTTTTTTGGAAGGCCAAACAAAGTAGTTTCGCTTTCACAACGAAAAACACAGCGGCTTAGCGTGAGCGAAAGCCCCGGCTTAGCGTGCGCTGAAGCCGGGCAAGAGTGAGCTGAGGTGGCGGGATCGAGAACGGCGGTCCCGGCGGATCCGACGAAGGAGATGTGAAAACGGTGAAAGCCGATCCGGCCATCCACAGCGCGAAGTTGATTTATTTTCTCAGCGACCAGCACGGATCAGCTCTAGGCATGACGAAGCGGATATCATCCTCTTTTGGAAGGTCAAACAAAGTAGTTTCGCTTTCACAACGAAGCACACAGCGTCTTCACGACATGGCTGCAGCGTCAACAATACTACAGTGAGACTAAAAGTTACGCCTTCTTTCTTTGCATGAACATTTGTGCGGCGTTATTCAAATCTTCCCACATAGTGAGGTAGAAATGTGTGGGCGTGTTAGAACGAGCCGTTTTAGGGGGGCGTGGCTGACTCTGAACTTTTATAAAGAATATCTCTTTGGATTTGAGACTTTAGTCTTTGCAACTTTACAGACCTTCTTTATGCACCAAGAGCTTGTAACACTCCAAAGAGAAAGGAAAAATTGAAATCGCATCATATGACCCCTTTAATGCAAACCTCATAAAAATAACTGGCGGTCAGTGGAGGAAAGCCTTGTGACGTCACGTGAAAACTATGAATTGAAAAATGTTTTACCTGCAAAGACTCCAGGAAACGGAATGACCCCAAGCGCCGACCCCGGGGAACAAGACAGAAGGTGGAGTTGTGGAGCAGCTCTTGATAGTCAAATCTATGAAGGAAAATGGAAATAAATAAAATTAGGTTAAAAAATGGCAACCGCAGAGTCATGGCCTATTGCTCAGGATTGACTACAGAACACAGATTTTACATTAACTGATCCAAAAAGTAACAAAGTAGAGATATACTACCATTCAGAAGTTTAGGGTCGGTGATTTTTTTTTTTTTTTTTTTTTTTTTTTTTAAAATTTTTTTGTACAAGGCAGGCTGTGCACAAAGGCTATTTCTAAAAAAAAAAAAAAAG